GAAGGCCTCTAAGTGACGTTGGGAGAAGATCTGCAGGCCAAAAAATACTGTGGTTATGGTCGTCCTTGGCCGTCCACGTATTCTTTGGGTCGCCGTTCAGACCGTGGACCAAAACGACATCGACATTGGCTTCAGGATGCGTATAGACAGCAGTGATCTCGAAGCGTGAAACGGTCTTCTGGAAAGACCCCTGTGAAAGTGTATTAGGAAAGGGGGGTGGAACACAGATGCTGAGCCGAGATCGAAGATACTCGACCGTAGAGGCAACTTACCATGCTTGCCTGCTCGGGCCCAGTAGGAGGGGACTCGACTTCCGCTGTATGCGCTACTGCAGCTTATTTGACGTCTATTCCGGTTGGCTTCTGGCGAGTATTTGGTGATGGACCATTCGACATCGACGGCTGAGGGGGAACCTTGCATGAACGTCGTCTTTATACGATCAGGGGCTCTCGCCCCAACCACTAAGTGTACCAAGCCTACAATACCTCACGGGAGGACGGGAACCAAGGCGAGGCGCGATGATGCGCGTCAGGCGGAGCCAATGATGCTCGCTGCCTGGTCTGCCTGTCTTGGAGCTCTATCGGGCCCCAGGCACTCTGGCGTCGTCACCTTCCCTCGTGTCGTCCGTCCTCGTCCTCGTCCTCGTCCTCGTCCCCGTCTTTGCCGTGTCCTCAGAGGTGTCCTCAGAGGTGTCCTCAGAGGTGTCCTCAGAGGTGTCCTCAGACACAGCAAGCAAGCTCAGGCGTGCGATGCTCAGGAAGCGGGGTGTAACACGCCGGGCGATCTGGTGACACAAGCATTGAATACCTTCCTAAATACAGGAGGGCGCGAGGTGTGTAAAAGAGAGAACAACGAATAAGAGCAGGATGTTTTGCTGGGTCGTGGTACGCAGTTGCAACAGAAGGCAGATGAGGCGCTGTTGCATTGTTAGTGGAGGGGAGTGGCCACTTGCTCTGGCACTTGCATCTGATGCGCCGCAGGTGCGCCCTTGCCGCACGCTACTGGCTTAATCTAAGTGCCCACCTGTAAGGGAAGGGAGGTAGGGTGTTTCCCCGTAGTGGCCCCCGCCTGCCCCCTAACTGCTGCTGTGCGTCGCGCGCCACAGATTTTCATCAACCCTGCCCATGCAGCATCGTCCGTCCTCCCTCATTGGGCAACGTTGCGCGCAGCCTCTGGAGTCCTCCTTCAGCCCGACTTGATTCATTCTTTCGTCACCTCCTCTGTTCAGAACGGAGCCGAAGCTCGTGATGAGGAAATGGAACATGCAGAGACGGCGCCAAAAGAAGAGCACGACACTAGCGCACTTGCCGTTCCGAAACATCAAACGGCGCCACCGATCTTGTCTTGCTTTTCCTGTCTTGCATTCTCTTTAGGTTCTGACCAGTGACTCTGTTCACCCGCCATGATCCTCGCTTCGTTTACACTGTTTTGCCCTGCCGAGGCACCTGTCTACAGCCAGTTGACTTGCGGGCGCATTTGACCCTGTTCGAGACGAGACGACAGCTCAAGTTATCAGATCAGACGAACACGAGCGGAAGCATCAACCAGCCAGTCAGACATCGTCGTCCGAACCGGCGCGTAGAGTGTCAAAAATCGAAAAACCAATACGAAGAGGCTCTGCCGTAAATCGATTGCCCAGCAAGAGCACCGCCTTGTTGCTTCGGTGAATATTCACGGTCGCAAGACCGATGACGTAACCAAATGTCACAGAACAACGCCTTTTTTTAATGTTTTCGTTTCTGGCGCCCAGGGCGAGGACAACTAGTTGACTCACGGTAGGAAATCGACAGAGTTTGTGGGAAGCCTCACTTGGGGCAAAATCGCTGGCATGTTCTCTTCTCTGAGCCCGAGTTGAGGGCGTGAGGTTTTTCAATGTTCAGACGACTGATCGGTGCACAATCCCGAAGCCTCATTCTTGGAAGAAGGTCTTCGTCCAACACAAGGCGATGTTTCTCTGCAAGTCCATTGATCATCACTGTACGACACGAAGCGCGGAGGAGGCGCATGCAACACCAACAACCCCCCCCCCCCCCCCCCCCCCTCCGGCACAGGCGGGGAATCCCGGCAGCTGCGACCCTGGCGTGCACTAAGGCAGGTTGAAGATCAACTTGAGTGTCTCGATGTGCCAATATGTAGGACAGAAAAAGCCTCCTTTGACAGCCCGACGACATCTCTAGGCCTAGCCTTCGCTTTCTCTATCGAGTGAGCCGGACATAAACTCCTTCCCTCGCGAGGCTCTTCCGAGATCGCGGCGACGGAGACGCCAGCTGACCTCGATGTGTGGGTCCCATATCCTGCTATGAGTCCGTCACGCCGTCTTGACTCAGACCAGCGCCTACAAACCTTCAACGGCCACCAGAGAGCATGCGCGCTGCCTCTGGCAACATCGGAGGCTGAGATCTCTCAAACGCCTTTCGGGGGCTTTCCTGCAAAGTTGGGCAAACTAGCCGGAGGATAACCTTGTACTCCTGTAATCCTCATCACTGGCGCCTAATTAGTCGTCAGTGCTGGGATTTCGCCCTCCAGCATGTCTTTACTTATTCCTCGCTATCCCGGTGTAGCACCATTAACGGCGTGCTGGCAGTTATGATTGGCGGTCGCGGCCTCTCCCCAAATGTGTCACACAATATTGCTGCTCTGACTTACAAGTTGTCTGTCAGAGCTTTTCCGGAAAAAAGCCACGAGGATACAGAGTTACATTTCTTCGGCAACAGAGAAATACATTGGTTACCTTCAGTGTCTGCCATCCTAATGCCCAACACAAGACCGAGAGGCAGTCTCGCCGTACATGAAGTTGTAGCGTATTCAAGCCTGGCCGAAAAGGTTGTCTGGCATCAGTCCCTTCCTCCATCTTTTCTCGACGTCTCTGTGGATCCCCTTAGCATGTAAAGCATATTGCCGACGAGTAAGCCGAAGTAATCGAGTGAACGCCAAGTGAACGCCATGGAAAGGCAGAAGCTGACGGCATACGTCTCACAAAAAACGGCGGAGTTTTAACTTATAGAACTGCCAAAGCCGGAAAATATCATCCAGTCAGCAGTCTTTAGTCTCAAGTCACGTTGCAGGTGTGCGACCTCGCACACCCCCGGCCGAAGCTTGCCGATGTTGTCCTTCCCTCTGCGGGAAATATGTTATGTTGTGGCAAGTGACATTCGCAGAGTTTGACACGGGAAGACTTTCTCGGTACACGCAGCAGGATTCGAGTATTCTGGTGTCTCTACTCAATCTCTCATGATGCTCATGTTCATGTAACGTCGTGTTCATGTCTAGGATTACAAATGATAAAACCTTTTCATTTGCATTCCAGCCTAGACAACGAATGGTTCTTGGCCAAACAGTCCGATAACCCCTCCAGACCCCTCCTTCAGTAGCAGATCTACCAGAGAACGAAAGTCCATGAAAATGCTGCAAACATGGCGATTGAGATACCGACCATGTTCTTGTCACCAGCGGATGGGATGGGTGGCGTCAATTTCCAGCCAACTGCCTTCCACTGCTCCCGGCCAAAAACGGCCCAGTGAACGTCAATTCCCGGACTTACATACTTGTTCACAACACAATGCGTGAGCCCGTTACCACTGCTGCGGCCATCGATCTCGAACTCGTCTGCCACTCGACTCGCAATCTGCCAAATATCCTTATTGCCAATGTACCAGCCATACTGCCATGTGTGGACATCCTCGGTCCATGCAGGACGGACACCAAACATACAACTTCTGTAAGTAAGAATGGGAAAGATAGTGTGGTTATCGCCATAGCCGTATACGGTTGTATAGTGTTTATCGCGTCGAATCTTTTCAGCAAGCTGACGGCAGTCTAATACTAGGGGCGACGTGGCGGTGGTACTGCTCGTGTAGGAGGATGCGCCACAGAGACTGGCCGACAGTCTTTCGCTGGTCTTCATATAAATCCCGTCGATGTCCGGGTCGTTTGACTCGGTTTCGCTGAGTGTGACTGGAAGGGGAGCTTTACTGGGGCTAAGGTCCTGATGGGTCGTGTTCGAGCTGATTGTGTTATTAGGAAAGGGGGGTAGGCAGTGGGATTGCGCCAAGGGGATCTCAGCGGCCAGCGCGAAGATGGAAAGAAGGAAGGTTATCTTGGCCGTCACCATTTTGGCTATTGTTGTCGTTGCAAGAACTGTGCTCGTTAGCTAAATGTGTATTGGATTCTTACTGGCAGCGATAGAATTGTAAAAGTAGCCGACGAAATGTCTGATGAAAGTTGCTGTAGGTATATCGTTGAGAGTGAGTGATGGAGGTAAGTAGGATAGAAATTACGGTCGATGTGTTTGATGTTGTTGATGCTAATCGGAATATTCTGCTGGTCTCAGAACATGCCACGGATATATTATACAATATCTATTACCAAAGCAATCGTTGTTCTAAGAACAGCCATATTGTATGCAAACTGCACCCGTTCGACGATGAGGGATTCCAGGAGCGTGAAGCAGACAATGCCTTGTTCTCAAAGGTAAGAAGAATGTCATTGTGAGGTCACCAGCAAAGCGTTTCGCGCTATTTGAATTACGTCGTCTTTGATCACGGACACAAAGTCATCTTTTATGAACGCCTCATCAAAGAGACGCCGAGTCACAGTGATATCGTAACATAGAGGAAAAAAGCTGCAAGTCAATGAGTTGATGCCATTGATCCTTGGACTGCGTTGAAGCAGTCTCTACCTAAAATAAAAGGCCGAAGTTGAGAACGCCGCACCAACTCCCGCCCATAGATTTTGTTTTACCCTCCCGGTATTTTGTTTTCCGCTTTAACAAAAGGTTTGAAACGCCTGAAGAAAATGCATCTAGTGTTGAAAACACCTTCCCTTTCATGAGCCATGTTAAATGTCATGCACGAGTCGCCCCGCGCTTGTTTTATCCCTTGTGAACCATGTCTGTTGAACTGGGCACGTATGCCCAATGTGGTATCAATCCAATCCTCCCTTGATCCGAGACGCCACTCCCTAGAATGAGCGGCGCAGCTCTGCACGTCGCTGAGCATCGTTTAGATGCCAGCGTCGACACGCCAGCCCTCAACAGGGAGGGGGAAGCCAGAGCTCCAGGCGGCGATCTCCTTGCGGAGGTCGTTGATCTTAGCAACGTTGCCGCTGGCAACCTGGGCCTTGAAGTCCTTGAGCTTGTTGGCCTCCTTAGGGAGAGACGCCTGAACCTCCTTGCAGATCTTGATGGACTCATCGATGTAGGTACCGACGCGCTCGAAATCGGCCTCGCCAAAGCCACGAGAGGTCATGGCAGGAGTGCCGATACGGATACCGCAGGGGGTAAGGGCGGACTTGTCACCGGGAATGGAGTTCTTGTTGCAGGCAATGTTGATCTGCTCAAGAACGGCCTCAACGCGAGCACCGTCAAGGCTGTGCTGACGGAGGTCGAGGAGGACCATGTGCGAGTCGGTGCCGTCGGCAACGAGCTTGTGGCCGAGGGCCTTGAACTTGTTCTCGAGAGCCTTGGCGTTGTCAACAACCTTTTGCTGGTAGGCCTTGAAGTCGGGGCTGGCAGCCTGCTTCAGGGCAACAGTGAGAGCAGTGATGGTGTGGTTGTGGGGACCGCCCTGGTGACCGGGGAAGACCGAGAAGTTGATGGGGTTCTCGAGGTCGTAGAGGGTCTCCTTGCCGGTCTTGGCGTCGACGGAGCGGACGCCCTTGCGGAAGAAGATCATGGCACCACGAGGGCCACGGAGGGACTTGTGGGTGGTGGTGGTGACGATATCAGCGTACTCGAAGGGGGACGGGATGACGCCGGCGGCAATGAGACCGGAGATGTGAGCCATGTCAACGACAAGGTAGGCACCAACGGAGTCGGCGATCTTGCGCATGCGACCGTAGTCGATCAGGCGGCAGTAGGCAGAGGTACCAGCAACGAGAACCTTGGGGCGGAAGAGGATGGCGTTCTTCTCGAGGGTGTCGTAGTCAATGATGCCGGTCTCCAGGTCGACTCGGTAGGGCATCGTCTCGAAGTAGGTGGAGACGGCAGAGATCCTGTAAGAGGCCTTTCGTTAGCATACTGGACTAGTATTTCAGAGACAGCGGGCGAAGTCACTCACTTGCGCTGGGGAGTCTGGTAGCCGTGGGACAAGTGGCCTCCATGGGGAAGGTCAAGACCCATGAGGCGGCCGTGAACGGGCATAATGGCCTGGTAGACCTGGAGGTTGGCGGGGGAGCCGGACAAGCACTGGACGTTTACACCCCACTTGGCAGGGTCGAGGTTGAAGGCGTGGAGGGCACGCTTCTGGCAGAGGTTCTCGATCTGGTCAATGTGCTGGTTGCCGCCGTAGTATCTGGCGCCGGGGTAGCCCTCGGAGTACTTGTTGGACATGGGAGAGCCGAGAGCGTCGAAGACGGCACGGGAAGTGACGTTCTCAGAGGCAATGAGGATGATGGACTCGCGCTGGCGCTGAATCTCCTCCTTCATGATCTCGGCGACCTCAGGGTCGGAGTCGATCAGAGACTTCTCCAACATCTGGCAGTGAGTCAGAACCAACAGTCCTTGCGCGACGCGGCGGGGTAGAGCAGACTGACCTCCTTGTGGGAGACGGGGAGGGAGTAGGTAGAGCCATTGGCAGCCATTGTGACTTGTGGTGTGGCGGAATATGCTTGGGAAAGGTGAAGAGGAGACTGGTTCACGCAAGCAATGGCAGTGAAGAGGTTGTTGTAGAAAGGAAGAGAGGGAGAGGGAGAGACAGAGAAGCCAGCAAGGTTGGGAAGGGAGGGTTAAAGCTTGAAAAAAATTTGGGAGAGCATCGGAGGAGCAAAATGTGAATGGCCGCATACTCGATGGCAGCGGTGGGGTATGGCGGGGTGTGATTGGCGGGGTCGAGTTGGCGACGCGGCGCAAGAAAAAGTTGTGGCGCTTGCCCCCTCCAGCGGTCAGGGTCGCTGAAGACGCCTTTGGCGGCTTCTCAACGTGCCTGTTGAGTTGACACAGGGCAGTAAGGTGAGTTCCAGCAGCGGGACAGAACAGCCGCTGGAGACGCTAAGGCAATAGCGCATATCCCTGAACTCGCCTTAGTGGCGGGGCAGCATGACTCCGATTCTGGAACAGTGCCGCGAGTCAACGAGAAACGAGGACCCATTTCGACCATTGAGCAACGAGGGGTTTCGTCCGTTTCGCTCTTACTTCTCGTGAGTCGTCTCACGATTGCTCTCCCCAGCCATCGTGAATTGGCGGCTCAGCCGGATGCTCTGGTCAAGGCGTGGCAACGGAATGGCGAAAGCTTCGGTTGTGGCAAGCAGTTGTGACTCACTTGGTAGGAAAGACCTGCGTATAAGTCATCTCGAAGAACAGCCAATTTCTCTCTCGCAATGAATCGAATGAAGCGTCATGAGCGCTGGCGGGCCCCAAGAAACAAGCACCAACATGAATCAATCATAGTTTGTCGAGACTGGAGTGTTGTTCCATGCTTACAGGTAATCTTCTCGCTGCACTCACCGAGGACTAAAACATGGAAGCGCGGTTACCACGTTCTTCGAAATCAGACCAGCCGGACTACAGCACTACTGACCTGAGACGATGATGCATGCGATATCGGCGATGCGCAAGTCAGACGTTGACAAGCCGAAGAGCCCATTCCGGGCAGAGCCCTGATAGGCCCAACTCAGAGGGTCCTCTGCTCTACCTAGGTACCTTGGTTGCTGCACAACAGCACCTAGCTACCTTAGCAGTAATCGGCAGAAAAAGTCAATGCAACATGACTTCCTAGCCTCAATTTCTAATTTTTCTATCGAGGCACGTATGGGCACAAAGTTGTGGCTGGCAGACAGACTGCCAACCTCCCACACTGTTTGGCATGCGAAGCGCTGCTGGCGCCATGATGATTCAAAGATGTCACAGTCCAGAATTGGCTGAGGCCTCTTGCTTGAATCCGAATCATACCTGGGCGCATTCGGGTTTCTTGTATGCTGACTCATCCGGCCCTCCATCGCACCCACTTCAGGACCGAGCTCCGAGACATACGACCTGCAGCCGTGAAGCTGTTGGCCTCAGGTACCAAGGCGGCAATGGCCTTTTGCCATCGTCCGGCCAGGCACCATAGCTTCCACGCAACGCGAACAGGCTCATCCGGGTGTCCCAGCATTGTCGGTATCAGCTTTGGGTAGGCAGGTACATAGCAGCTGGGCAGAGGAAGTAGGCCAGCAAAAGTACTGCGTGTTAGTTGGCCAGGTGTCTGGCTTCGAGCTATGGCACCGCCTGCCCATCTTTGGCAAGCTCCGACCTAGGTATTGCTAGGTTAGGCACCTGCCTACCTGCGGGAGGTTGAGAACAGCTGCGGTGGGCATAGCGAGTGACATGCTGGCTAGGTAAGGTACAGAGTAGATAGATACTCATCTCAATTCTTATCTCATCAATCCACCCCGTTGCGTGATATGAGCTTCCCCGGGTCTGCTTATTTGGATGCAACGCATGGAGATCGCTTTATCTTATCGAAGAAGGCAGATGCAGGTGACGCGAAACGGCGGCAGCCAAAGAGAATCTGCAGGGACACGCGATCAGACACGCAAGCTCCGTCCTGGGTGCCTCATAGGCCCGTGAAGGCCAAGTGTGAGTGTCACCGAGTGTGTGAGAGCTGGGAGGAGCTCTGTCTCGGGCGGTCGGGGTTGCGTGCCTTGGAGCTTCCGTTCCTGCTGGTTGCTGGGGGCTCCATAAAACCCCGGGTTTTGATAGGCAGGTGTGGCACGTCGCGCAGTGATAAGGTACCTTCGGGACGTCATTAGCGGAGGCAGGTTGGGCAGGTCACGCTTGACACTGGGACTCCCCCCATGCTACCTCAACCCAGTACGGTGCCTGCGTACTTAATAGGTACTTCATCCGCCCCAGCTTCTGCTTCTTTCCCCCCGTCAACACCTCATCATCCCCATCCCGTTCTAACCCATCATCCCCCCCCCCCCAGCATCAGCATTCCCAAGACGCAGGCGCCAAAGCAACAAACGCTGGGTAATCGAGGTCTTCGATCACGATGAAGAGCACTCTCCTCACCGCGGCCGTCCTGTTGGGCGCCGCCCAGGCCGACGTCCACAAGTTGAAGCTCAAGAAGGTCCCCATCTCGGAGCAGTTGGTATGTCAACCCATCGTCGCGCATCTCCCCGAAACCCTCCGCTGACCTGACACTATTGTAGAACGCCGTTCCCATCGAGCACCAGGTCCGCTCTCTCGGCCAGAAGTACATGGGCGCTCGCCCCCAGAACCACGCCGATGCCATGTTCAACCAGAAGCCCATCAAGAGCAACGGTGAACACCCGGTGCCTGTGAGCAACTTCATGAACGCTCAGTGTAAGTCCCCTTGACGGAACCACCCTCGATCGTTGTGCCTAATGTATCTTTTGCAGACTTCTCTGAGATCTCCATCGGCACTCCCCCTCAGTCATTCAAGGTTGTCCTGGATACCGGCAGCTCCAACCTGTGGGTTCCTTCTCAGCAGTGTGGCAGCATCGCCTGCTACCTGCACTCCAAGTACGACTCGTCGTCTTCCTCCACCTACAAGTCCAATGGCTCCGAGTTCGAGATCCACTACGGCTCTGGCAGCTTGACCGGCTTCGTGTCCCAGGACGACGTTTCCATCGGCGACATCAAGATCAAGAAGCAGGACTTCGCCGAGGCCACCAGCGAGCCTGGTCTGGCCTTTGCCTTTGGCCGCTTCGACGGCATCCTCGGTCTTGGTTACGACACCATCTCCGTGAACAAGATTGTTCCTCCCTTTTACCAGATGGTCAACCAGAAGGCCATCGATGAGCCCGTCTTCGCCTTCTACCTCGGCGACACCAACGACGAGGGCGATGAGAGCGAGGCTGTCTTCGGAGGTGTTGATGACTCTCACTACGAGGGCAAGATCACCTACATCCCTCTCCGCCGCAAGGCTTACTGGGAGGTTGACCTCGACGCCATCACCCTTGGCGACGAGACTGCTGACCTCGAGGGCCATGGTGCCATCCTCGATACCGGAACTTCCCTGAACGTTCTCCCCTCTGCTCTTGCTGAGCTGCTCAACAAGGAGATTGGTGCCAAGAAGGGCTTTAACGGCCAATACTCGGTTGAGTGCGACAAGCGCGCCGAGCTCCCTGACATTACCTTCACCCTTGCTGGCTACAACTTCAGCATCTCCGCGTACGACTACATCTTGGAGGTCTCTGGCAGCTGTATTTCCACCTTCCAGGGCATGGACTTCCCCGAGCCGGTTGGCCCTCTCGTCATCCTTGGAGATGCCTTCCTGCGTCGCTGGTACTCTGTTTACGACCTCGGCAAGAACGCCGTTGGTCTGGCCAAGGCGAAGAAATAAACGCCTGCACACACAACACTTTTCTTATCAATTTGTCGGCAAATGGAGGGATTCGGGCGGTGGCTGTAATTTATCTACCTAGGTGCTAGTCTGGACACCAGTATGCGAATACCATTAGTTGCATCTTTGCGCGAATTCACATTATTCCCGTGGTGTTTGTTTGCCACGGCTGACCACAGCTATGCATGGTTTGGCGACGCAAAGGTACTAAGCGGGCACCTGGCGATCCCAGAAAGGGCACCCATGTCTGCCCATAATTCGGTGCTCCGTACAAGTACAAGAAGGGTCCGCTGTAAGATAAGGTGCCTTACGGGGACACTGGGCATCAAACCAAAGGAACAGATGTCGCCATGTATAATCGAAAACCTTGGGCTTAACGCTTGACATGAAAGTCGACCCAGTCAGTCCCCAATCAACTTTGCGGTGAATGAAGCTCTAACCGTCCGAGGTACCTCTCCAGCCAAGGGACGCGCAGGCCAGGACGCATCTCTCCCTGCGGCATCTGGGGGGGTCCATCACGTGAAGCGACCCACTGTATCCGACTGAAGTGGGACTAGCGTCAATCTTAGTCTTTTTCGCAGCAGTGGCATCAAGACAACAGCCTTCTGAGTACAGCCTCCCAACATACGCTGCAGGAAATTGCTCCAGGAGCACTTGCAAGGCCAAAAAGAAATCGAGAAACGGCAACGTCGATGGACCTCCGTTCATCTCCGGTTCCTTTTGTTTGCCCTTGATTGTGTTCTTGGATGAAAAGATTCCCCCAAACACCTAGTCTCTCGACGCTTGACGAAAAAAAGGTTTTGGAGTTCCACCAACCGACCGACCGACCGACGAACCTCGCGCGTCGCGACAATCCCGCCCTCCACTGGGCGACCTGCCACCCCCGTCGTCCCGCGCAACATCGACCTAACGAGCCGCCAACGAGCCCTCGCATCGCGACGACAACCACCACTCACTAAGATTACGACTCACCAAGCTTCGCAATGGCGCAGCCGGATTCGGTCCAGGCGAACGGCATCCCTGGACCGGACCATGCTGAGTCCCCCCAGCCCCAGCCTGTCGTCCCTGTGAAGAGGAAGCGCGACGATGATGAGGAAGTCAATGGCGATGGAGCCGAAAAGATGGATGTCGATGGCGAAACCACCCAGGTCCCGCAGGAGAGCCAGAAAGATGCCATTCGCAACTACTTCACTGTCTTGACCAGGTAGGGCTGCACGCACATCCATGCGCCTTTTGCGGCGCGCCCATGCCCCAACGTCGCCTCGAGAACCGTGTCGTACTAACGTATCGCCCCTAGTTTTGATGCAAAGCCCTCAATTCTGAAGCGTCCGCTTCCTGAAGCCGATGCAGAGCAGCCCGACGCGAAGCGCCAAAAGTCCGCCGACCACGCGAGCACCATCGCCGACAAGGTCTCCAACGACTCCTACAAACACTTGGACGAGATGGCGTCCGACCTCGTTGATGCCGTAAAGGATCAGCTCAGAGAACTGCAATCGACCGGATCAGAAAAGGGCAAGGAGAAGACCGATGGCGCTGCCTTGGTTCAAACCAAGAAGTTCCGAGAGAAGGCTATGGACCTTCTCCGCCGAGAGATATCGTACCCGCGTACAGCCGCGAATGCCCCTGACGTCAAGGCCGAAGTTGACCCTCTCTCGGGTTATGCGGTCTTGACAGTCTTTGGCCAGGCTCCCCATGCCAAGCAACTCTTCTCGAGTCTGCCCAAGAAGATGTCTGGTGCGGAGAACTCTAGCATCAAGGCATCTCCCTTGAACCTCCCTCCGGCTGTGTCGACATCCTATGTTGTCCCATCGCGATCAAGTGAGCGGACCGCCACACTCGGGGAATTGTTCTCATCTAGTCGTCCGCTGCCGTCGCTGCAACCTCCCAAGCAACCCAAGCAGATGGTTAAGGGCAATATTCTGGGCTTCTACCACCCTGAGCCAGCTGGCAAGTCCAAGTACTTCAACGATTCCTATTCGAGCAAGAAAGTGTCAGTCGGCTATTTTCTGGACTACACCAACGCGACCCCGTCGTCGAAGAGCAAGACAAGACAGCGTGAGCGTGCGCAGAGCTTGGCGGGCCGCAGACCATCGAGCACCGAAGTCGAAGTCAATGAAATGGAGTCACTATTCCGCAGTGCATTTTCCAGCTTTGCCCCATGCAGAGATGATTCCACGTCGGTCATACCTTCGACCCACGCCGGTCGCCTGCACTGGCAATTGACCGGCCAACGGAATTTCAACAAGCTTATTGAGTCTGAGCTGCGCGAGTTTGAAGATGAAGATGACATTGAGAAGCCAATTCAACAGGCGGCGGAGAAGGAAGTCGACGAAGAGTTTGTGAATGAGGCGATCGAGAAATGGGATGAGTGGCTTGTGGACCCCGCACTGCAAGACATGAATGACGTGGTGTCGAAGCCCAAGGAGAAAGATCCCGCCGACAAGGAGGTTGATGCTCTTCTCGACGATGTCACTGACATGATTGAGACTCTCCTCTCCTACCAGCGCATCCGCAATCTTACTCTGCTCCCATCGCAAAACCGCTATGCAGGTGACCCTGTCAATGGCGATCTGCTGTCTCATGGTGCTGTCTCAACTCCAACGGAGGAGGAGACTGCGACATACGAGACGCTCAAGGCCCAGTTGAGTCTCATCGTCAACAGTCTCCCCCCTTACGCTGTAGCCAAGCTCAACGGCGACCAGTTGGAGCAACTGCTCATCAGCACGAAGCTCGAGGTCCGAACAGACCAGTACAAGGGTGTCATGGAAGACGATGCGGCAACTCAAGCTCGTATGCGTCAACAGCAGAGTGTGGCTGCTGCGGCTCCTCAAAATCGGCCCGCCCCTCATCGCACGCCGAGCGCGTCGACCCCGTACAACCAGTACGGGGCGAACCAGTACGGCACCCCGTCCCGGACCCCTTCCGTTGCAACGACCAACTACTACCGTGCCGGTCAGCAGCCGCCGATGCCCCAGCAGCAAGTTCCTCGTCCAGGTGGCACTCCCCACCACATGCCTCCGCACCAGACGCCGCGCCCTGGCCAACCCGGTGGATATCGCCCAACAAACGGATACACCAACTACGCACAGCATGTCGGAAAGACACAAACACCCTATGGTCACCAGAGTGTTCAATACGGATCACAGCAGAGGCCCCCACAGTACCCTGGATATGCTGGAACACCAACGCATGGCACGCCTAACGCTCGTTTCCAGCAACCCTATCAGCAGCCGTACCAGCAGCAGCACCATCAGCCGCCTAGCACTCCGCAGCCAAATTACGGCGGCTACTATCCCAACGGAGGGAACAATATGCAACCGCGCATGTCACCGCAGGTGCCGGCCGGCCAGTATCAGTCTCCGACTCCGCACCAGCAGCAACGGCACTATGGGTCGACTCCTCAGCAGAACATGCCTGGCACGCCCATCAACCGTCAACAGTATCCGAACGGTAGCCACCAGTCGCAACACACACCAAATGCCGGCATGAATGCAATGACGGGTTACAATATGGCTGTTTACGAAGCCGACCGGAAGCGCATGGCGGCCGAACAAGCTAGGTTCAGGGCCGCGGCGCAGCAAACGAGCAATGCGTTTGGCAACAAGATGATTGCAGGCGGTCACGAGGCGCGCGTAGCTGCGGGCGAAACGCCCAAGCCGCAAAGCCCCGTTGGCAGTGCTGGCAGAAACGGAACGCCTCCCATACCCCATAAAGTGACGCCTGTGCCCATACCCGTCATACCTCAACAGCAGCAGAGAAAACAGGTTTAGCAAGCCGGTCCGCTGCCAACAATATCGTTGTCGCGTCTCATGGCAGAACAACGTTCTGCAGCTCAAGCCTTACGGCCAAAAATTTCTTCCGTGCCCATTCCAACGCCTTACTCGCCCCTAAATAGGTATCGAGGAAACGCGGCAGGAGCTGTTTCAGGGCCCTAGGTCTTGGCGTTCAACCACTTTAGTTCTTCGGTGTCTGATTATTGAGGAAGCGATGTCCTTTCGGAGTTGGTGAGGGGGCTCTGTTTTGCAGGTGGCAACGAGGCGTTGCATCAAGTTTCCAGGGGGCGGCCCAATTGACGATGGACGGACAAAGGAGGGATTCAGACTGTTGAGACGCTCAATTCGAGCCACTGCAAGTCTGACCTATTTACGGCGTTCTGGCCTTGTGTTATTAGAGAATTTCGATGGAGAGTTGCGACGCATAGATGATCGCCAGAGGGCGTCTTCGTGTTGGAATAACCAGTGCAGACAATTACGTCTTCGCTGGTCTGTGGAGGCCCGCTTTCCTCTCTTTCTTTTACTTTTTCAGTCTTATCCACGGCGAGGAAGGGGGTGTGGATGGGGAAACGGTTCATGGTTCACGGAGGAAGGCGAGTCTTGGCTCAAGTGTATAGAGTTTGAAGGTAGCCTAAGTACTTGCATCCTAATCAGAAACAATGGCAGTAAAATCTTCTAGCTATTATCTTTGACACATGCTCTGGTATCATGTCTCTGTGTGGCGGTATCTTGCAAAGGACGTAAGCCTTTTATCTACGTGGCCCTTTGTCAAAGTCGTCCGAACGCATCACGCATGAACTTTTTGATTGCTTGCACGCTACCTGTTAGCGAACAAGCTGATTCAAGACAACGTTCGGCTGATGTTGACCGTTGAAGAAGGCGGCAGAAACAATGGGGGGCAAGCTGTCAACGGTTGCGCTAATACGGAGGTGGAAATAGCTGCAAGGTTTCGGCTTGTTGGGGCCGGCGGCAACGGCTCGTCGCAAGAAGTGCTATAGGCCAAGTGGCTGAATCGAATAGCACGCTTCTAGCCTTGCATCAATGAGACAGTCGTTCGCGACCTGCGTGCTTGGCCTGCTTCGTTGAGTTGAGGTCACTGGCTGCGCCCTTGCGACCCTGCTTTTTTGTAAAGAATCAAAAATGACGCCAAGAAAAACAGTGGTTGCTAGTCGTACGAATCAGAGCCAATATCAAGACTGCAAACGGGATAACAGATTTCAAGACCAGAACGAGCAATAGAAGAGTAGTTTGCATTATCTAGGCAGTCTACTTCGCCATTTCTGAGGCCATCAGATCCAAGCCTGTTCACAAGAGATACCGGGGCTGTCCGTCTTCCTCCGATTATTTCTTATTTATTATCCAGGGCCAGCCCAGCATCATTATTTCGCAACGTTCCCCGCTTCACAAATCGTAACCAGTCTACATCAGCCGGCGTCTCCTCACATTTCTTTCTTGCTCCAGGTCCGAATCATCATCATCTCGGCGACAACGGCGAGAACGGCGTTGCTCATCGTGCTCAACTCCCTGGTCCGCCTCGCCTTCTTCGATATCCTGTACAGCTTCGACAGGTCGTGCCATCTCCTGAAGCCTGTCAGCTGCTCTCCTCAGCCTCATCTCTGACTTTTCGAGGGCCTCCATGGTTGCGTCGAGAATGTCAGCAGCCAAGACGGGTTGCTTGAAGAGGACCCGGCGAAGATGCGTCCTGACGATTTTGAACCGCTTCATTTTATGAGCCACCATATGAGGGATTGATGCCAGGTGAAGGGTGAAGTAGGGGCTCGTTCCTAGGGTCGCATAAAGCTCATCGAGAACGGCAGGCAAGTCGACGTGAAAGAGAGCGTTGCGCACAGCGGCACAGAGCGCGGCTGCAGACTCTGAGAAGAGGTCGATGATATCGAATTGTTGGGCCATTCCGCAGATTCGGGTGGAGTAGAACAGAGAGTGCGGAGTGTTGTCCCACACTTCCTCCTCCCCATCTTCTGCTTGCGTCCCCGCAGCCTGGTATCGGACCTGGTACTCTCCGGAATACAAAAAGGCAAGGACGCGTTCGAAGATCTCCGGTTCCAGCGGCAAATCGACGACGTCGACCCCGAAGAGTTCATCACGAACCTGTAGACTCAGTGTTAGTTTTGGATACGCGGTTAAAAGGTTCGGGAAATGACTTACAGTTGACGACTCGAGAACCAGCTCCTTTAGTTTCTGGCACTGGGAGAAGACAATTGAACGGTGAACCTTGAAGGTCTGCTTGTTCCCCTTTTTGCCAGTGCACACAAGGTGGATGTCAGCGTACATGCCGGTGTTGAGAAGAGAAGACAAGTCGAGGCGGCCCATCTTGATGCTGTATCGATGTGATGATAGTCTTGAGATAGAAAAGCTTGCAAGCAATTTTGAGGCGATGAATCTGCTCTTGAAGTTGAGTCGGTTTTCGAGTTGCCAGCAACTGATCGTATATTGATTGAATCCGCGTAGAAGATGGGAATCGATAATCTTGAGACACTAGGCTAGATGTAGGCTGCCAGCAACCTTGGTGAACGATGTAGGACAGAAACTTCTTGGAGAATTGAGAGTGAGAAAACAGAAAATAAGGGTGGAAGATAGCAGAGAAGAAAATGTGGATAGGTTGAGGGAGAGGTTACTGGGACGGTAGAAAGGAGAGTCGACGAGGTGAGATTTTGCTGGGGATAAAGAGAAGTTTTACAGGCTAGGGCCTTTCTCAAATTCACTGTGGTCTCGAAACTTTTTGAACGGTTATGGGAGGCAAGTGCGATGGAAAATTGAAAAAGGAAAGAGGGCGACATTTGCAACTTTGGTCTTCCTTGAGAGGCATCTCTGAGGTAAACAATTTTGATATTTACGACGATAATGAACTATGATTGCTTATAAGCAGAAGCTGGCGCTTTCTTTCTTTCGGTTTTGTTGTTGCCGTCGTCGGTCGGTCGTCGTCGTCGTCCCAGTCAACAGACATAATGAAGCACCGCCATCCTTCACTTTGCCAACACGTCCCACTTCACTTCCAGGTTGTAAACACCCCAGGAGCTTAGAAAAGGCATCTGGCACCTTCGTATGGAGATGACTTTGCTCCTGACACTTTCAGAGCAGCAACATCTCACCGATCCACCTCTTCTTTCGTCCACTTATGGCACTCATCCACTTCATTCATTCAACATCTCGCGAACCCGAAAGTCTGGAGCAACCCAGGACCTCTCTGACAGCTCCATGATAAAGGACTCCGCAGCCCAACAAGATTGCTCTAATCTACTCTACACCCAGCAAAGATCCAATCTAATCTGGACTGTCAGGGTCGGACTTCAACCTGTCTCCAAGGTATCGTCTTTGGACAATGCGAAGCTCTGAAGAACGAGAGAGACAGTGTGATTTGCCTTCCAAGCTAATACCCAAAAACAGCTGCTAACCTCATGAAGAAAGGCGGCGAACTTTGCCTCTCCCGATCTGCCGCTGCCTTGGAAGCGGTGTTGAGCTTGATGTACTCCGGAAAATACGCACCCTTCGTCTCGCTGCGAGACCTCTACCCCAACTGCCCGGCACGAGTCAATCCGCCTGCCAAAGCTGGCCATTACAGAAACAATTTCGTTCTTAAATACGATTCGATCGGCATGAGCATCACCGTCGAGGTCCTAGAGATAGCCGACCAGAATACATTCGTCTTGTTTGTGCTTAGCCCGCCCTTCGGCTTTTTTACGCCTCTCCTTTGTCTTCGATATCGCTACTGTCGTCGCCATTGTTGGCTTCCTTCATCATCACCTGGTCCATGTGTTGATTAGAATATTTGACATAGCTTACGGGGTATCTATCCGGGTCTACGGTTCCGTCTTCCCTAATCCATTTACAGGTGATGATACACATACAGTGGCTTCCTCTTCCTCCAGCCTTTTGACCATATCAATCACTGCTTTCAAGTTTTGATGATCACCCCACTTATCGCTTGCGATATAATCCTCCACCTCCTCATCAGAAGACCAGTGCAGTGCCCCATTATGGGCCATCTCCTGGTGTATAGGCTTTACAACCTCATTGCCTAGCATGGGCTCGGCGAACGCCCGGAACGCTCGTACTGCCCTCTCCAGACGCTCCATATCGGCAAGTGACAGACCGCCTAACGCCGTCGTCACCGCGGGTAGCCACTCGTTGGTAACCCATTGAAGAAGCAATAGCATCTCCTCGTAGTCGCCGACAAAGGCTAGCGTGCGCATATAGTTGTTGATGTGAGACGCTGTGACGAGCCGGTTCACCTTTGGCTTGGCAATTGGACCAGTGGTCGAGAGTACCCTCCATGCGCTCTTGAGCTTCCTCGTTGCGTCGCACATAACCTCGTATGGTGTATCAGCTGTATTGCAGCTTCGTTTTTGGAAGATGGGAGACAGAGCCGTCTTCCAACACTGGCGGTCTTTGCTGGAGACGAGTTTCGGTGCCTTGGCGGGAGTGCTGTGGAGACTATACAATGACAAGAAGTTTTGACTTTCGCGGTTATTCTCTCTGCGACTGTTCCTCAGAGGCAATAGCCCCGAGCATGCAGCCTTGAGCATCGCTCGAGCATACGAATGAAACATTAACAAGCTCAAACCGCTGTGAGCCTCCGCCCTCTCCATGACCTCTGTAGCCAACAGAAGCACCTCTAAGCCGTTCGTCTTGGTCTTGACGGCACTAAGCATGATATTGGGTCGCGCAAGAGCAACCAATATCGACTCCCAGGGCGCTCTGCTGCTATTCTTTGTCGAGATCCATCCTTGCTGAGCGAGGCGGAACGCATACCGTATGCGGAGAAAGTGTTTCGGATATAACTTGGTCTGGCCTTGCGTGCGATTTGGCTGCAGTTTACAGAGCAATTCAATACACGCATGGAGAATGTCCAGAGGAGGCGTTCTCAGCAGAGATGGTGGAAGGTCCGTGAGAGTCTCCATGCATCGTCGGATATCCCTTTTGAAACCGCCGGATATACCGCTGTAATCGATGTAATCCATCGCATGGGGAATGGTTTCTGCTGTCCTAATGAGAAAAGCTAGTTTTTTGCCTTTGATGACAATGCCCATCTTGAACATCTCGTGCGTCAGAGCACGTATAGTGGGCGGGCGTACTCTAGCTTTTTCGAAATCGGTAAGGTTTCTGTCGTCAAACGGAGAAACTTCTCGGCCGTCACCTGGCAGGTTGTTGTGATCCAGATCAGCTGGCTTGGCGGCGATCTTGACAATCAGCTCCCAGTACACTTGCCAGTTGGGTTCCATGTTGGCCTCTGGAGGGTTCTTGAATATAGCCCATGCCTCCTGTGAGTTCCGAGTGGTCCGAATAAGTGCTGCCCAAGCTGCTTGATCGTAGTGGATACGGCGAGGGTAATTGGCTCTGGTCTGGACGGTAGGCGAACCATCTGGGGCTCTGCCACCTAGGATATCGGTGACGTCGTCTACTGGTTGCTTGGCGTAGCCGGCTTCTTGCATCATCATGCCGGCCTTGACGACTCTGCTCAAATAGTCCTCAGCATTGGCCTTTTCTTCCATGCCATCTCGCAAGATTCGATAGGGAGGCCACGAGCTGGCAAGGGCACTGGCCGTGTCCCGTTCGGTGACGGTCTTTGGTAGCATGAGCAGGATTTGCCGGATTGCCCGGTAGCTCTGGCGCTCAATGATCAAAGGTCGTGGCAGGCCGGAAGACAGAGACAACAATGCTGTGATGGCTTTCCAGTTGCAAGTCGCGCGGTCGTATGGCTTTTCCGCTGCGGGTTCGGAGACAGCTTGTAAGGCGGCATTGAAAACGCGACACTGCATATTGTAGGTCTTATCTTGGCGCATCTGCCTTGTGCGTGATTTTGTCAATGGAAGACCACTGATGTAGGATACTGCTAGATTAGCTATTTCAGGTAGAATGTCGGGCTGGAGCCTGGCCGCGTGATAGCCTAGCTTCTGAAGCAAGATGCAGAACAGGGCAGAATGCATTCCCAGCTCGTGAGAGTCTGGTGCGCCAGGGCTTTCCTGTTGTTTGCCGGAGTACCATTCTTTGCAATACTCTAAAAGCCCCCAGAGTGACTCTCGATCTGAGAAATACGGCCTACTGCTGAGTAGGTAGAAAAGAACAAACAGCGGTTTGTGATGCTCCTTGCTCAGAAAGTCTCGTACTCTCTCGTCCGCATCTTCGACAACGAGTATTTTTGTCCAGTGGGTGACTTCTCCAACGATATACCCCCTACGTTCCAAGAGCCTGGGCATAGCCTCCCAGTCGGGGCTGTACAGGCGGGCATGGATGCGCGGGTCAAGTTTGGGAATTTTTCGCAGGACTAGCTGGGCCGTGATGATGCTGAGCGAAGATTGCCTTAAAGAGGCCAGAAGGAGAAGGTCGGCTAGTTGTGCGTCGGACAGGGTTTGGTTCGGGTTACGGTACAGTTCGAGGGCGCCGGCGAGGAGCAGTTCTTGGGAAAATGAGCGCTCGCCGGCAACGATGGGCTTGTAGACCGACTCTAATGAGCGTTGGTGGTGATCGTCTTGTTGTATTATGCGCTCAAGTTGCGGAACTTGGCTGACGGCGGCGGTCTGGGTGGATCGGATGTCATGGCATCGGCAGAGGTGCTGAGTCTTGTTAGCTATGGCAGGGGAAGCTTCTTGGGAACACCCACAGCTCGCCAGGTAAGAACCGATGACCATCGGCCCTTGGTCAGGACAAAAGGGTATGATCTGGAGATGGGAGACAGCCGCATTGCCCCATCTTCGCTGACAGGCTTGAGAAATCCCACGATTGAGATGCAGTGAGCCTGGCTGGTTGGCAAGTAGGTCGCAAGAGGTTGTTAATGCCGATATGTCGCTGCGTCGCCGCCGGACGAACTTTTGTGATCACGTGCTGATAAGATAACCACCCGCATCGGCAGTTAACGGCAGCTCTGACTTTGAGGACTGTCCTCGCCCAAGCCACGACCGATCATTGTGTGTCTTGGGTGTCCGAAAGGCCCATTCAATGGCGTCAAAAGTTTCAAAATGCGGCCATGCTATCTCACCATAGCGTCGTGCCTCAACCGTGGCTTCCACACCGCGCGTTTCACGCCCCGCCCGCAGCGATACTTCCACCTAACGACTCCAACAAGCCAACCTCGAAAGCGTAACTTTTTTACTTCTAACGTCTACCTTTCCCAGAGCACTGGCGAACCGTCTCCGAGGCAGTCGAAACCCGAAAATGGAGAATCATTACTGCCCACGCCTCCGAAGCGCAAAGGCGTTCGTTCTGCTGGCGCAAAGAACTCTCTACGTCGGGTGGCCATCATCGCTCAACGGCCAGCGCAACGCAGTGGTGGCGCCCTACCTGGAGAGTCCGTCGATGCATCTGCCTCGACCCTGATCAGCGCCGTCTGCGTTTCCGAGTCTTTCGATATGGGGTTGGTGCTAGATACATTACGGGCGCATGGGTTCGATATCGACCCAGACCAGAGCGGATTCGAGGCAAGTGAGGTTGTACATGCCCGCGGTGTAAATGGAGGCGACATCTTTGTATTCCCTTCTGGAACGATCGTGACCTGGGCGCTGCCTCCTGATGTCGTCACTAAACAATTGCTCGGCGCGGCGGAAACGCCGTTGAAGCCGGCTCTGCGGGAGGTCGAGGACCTGGAGTATGTTGCCGACTCGTCGAGGGAAACGAGCGGCATGAAGGGTGACATTGTGGTACTTGGGACGAAGCTTGAAGAGAGGGATGGCGATAGACTGGACACGACGCTGGCCAAGATTGCCTTCTCTTCGGGGTTAGCGAGGAGCACCAAGCTGGCCGTTCTCGAAACAGCCTTGACGGCGTACTTTGAGAGTACCAGGAAAATCCCGTCGCTGCTGTCAAAGGGCTCTGGGCTACCCCTCAGAAGGAAGTTTATCTTGCAGAAGACGGGCGAGTTGTTGAGTCTGCGCGCGCGGCTCAACCACTACTCGGAGCTGACGGACTCCCTCCCGGACATTTTCTGGGACAGCCGTGCCGAACTAGGTCTAGAAGGGTACTACGAGCAGGTCGGACGAGCGCTTGACGTAAACGTGCGGATTCGAACGTTGAACCAGAAGATGGACTATGCGCAGGAGATTGCGAGCGTGCTACGAGAGATGTCCAGTGAGCAGCACAGCACAAGACTGGAGTGGATCATCATCATCCTCATTACTGTCGAAGTCGTCTTTGAGCTGAGGCGGATTGTGTTGGAGTGGAAGGAGGAGCATGCACTTGAGCTTGAGAACGCCGGGAAGAAGTAAGGAGGGGGGAATGAACCAAAGATACCCAACTCAATCGATTTTCATCTGAATGCATATGCCAATCTCTTTTTCTATACGTTGCATGGTCGAGTATCGATTACAATCCCACCAACCTTGACTTTGCATCACCACCTCAGCTCTAGCTAGACCTGTGCCTTCCATTATTACCTAGGTAGGTAGATGGGTGGGCCAGCCCGGCTGGTAAAGTCACTGCAGCACAGCAGCCGCCAGGTACCCGCGACCACCCTGCACGAACCCGTACCTCCACGCCTTATCTCATTGGCCAATCCTGCTGCAGGAACGCTGGGCAAACTCCACAGCAGGGTCGCGCTTGCCAAAGTTTTCAATCGCAAAGCGGGATTGGCCGCCTTCTCCGCAATTATTCTTCAATGTCAACACACTACAGGCATTCTTCAAAAAAGCACTTCGACTTCGACAAGTCAAGTTGATGCGTAACAAAACCAGCCTTTCTCTTTCCATATTTACGGACCACTTCAATTTCACAAGGCCTTTTCCCTCAGGGCAAGCGCGATATTTTTATTCGTCGCTTGCCTCTCTTTCTGGCTCACTTCTTCAGCTTGGCACCACGACCTTATCCGTACCATCAACTTTCAAATCGTCAACCTAGCACCAACAGCTTTGAAGCGCGCCCGGACCCAACCCAACCTCCCAATTCTCATCGTTCCCCACACAAATCACTGTTACCAAGCACGATTTATCGAGAAACAGTGTATAAGTGCACATTCTCACAACGTCTACGGCACATAACGCGCTAGCGCCTGCCGCGTGCGCGTGCGGGTGTACTTACTTCCTAAGCCACTCCAACTTACCGAATGGGAAGAATGAGCATTCACTATGCCAGGTCAGCCCCATCCTTTCATTGTGTCCATGTCAGTTTCTAACCTAGTGCAGGTCCTATTGAAGACTACGAGGACGAGCTTGGGAATATGTGGGCTGCGGATTACGATGAAGGCCAAGACTGGGAAGCCGCCGATGATCTCGCTAAGATCGAGAACCGCGAAATCCTGCAAATCTCAGAGAACCCGGTTATCGCCAACCCGTCGGAGGACGCGCCTGCCCAGCAAGAGTTTCATAGGGACGCGCAGACCGTCTTCCTGCCGCCAGATTTTCAACCAGTCACGAACATCTCCGTTGACCTCCCGGCAAGCACTCTCATCTCGCCGCGGTACCTTTATCAGGGTCAGGAGCTCCCGGCTCCGGTTGATCGGGAGTTCAGAGTCGTCCAGAAGTTACTAGAGGAGCATCGGCGAACAAGTAAAGGAGGGGACGACTTCATTGACATTGAACTCGACCAATTCACCGTATTTACCGAACCGTACATGGGTGGGCTCACAGAGGCCTACAAGAAGATGCAATATCCAGGAGAGATGCGACCACTCCAACACCTTTCAATCAAAATTGGCTGCAAAGTCATGTTCGCGGCTGGAGTCTTGTCAGTTGGCGACGCTCGGTACTTTGTACCCAAAATTCTTTTGAAAAGCTACCTATCGGAAACTATGGCCTGTCTGAGAGTACGGTTGGTCAGGAGATATGGATCCAGTCACAGATGAACACCAAGTATAAGGAGGGTGTTTATTACCGTCTGAAATCCCCTTCGCCAGAGTACAGAAGATTTCACATGGGTTTCATGTGGCTGGCAGACCTTTCGAAGCATGTCGTCGACTACCTCTCCGCCGCGGTAGATGCTGGACGTCGCGTGTTGTTCAGAGAGTTCCGATCTGATTTCAGTGCATGGCTTTTAAAGCACCACGGGGCTTCTGAGGCATTCACTCGCTGGCGACAACAGCTACCAGGGAACGACTTCCGCACAGCAATTGTGGCCAATCTGGACTTTATCTACAAGGAGGTTCATGGCGTTCTCGGTCAGCAAAAGACCAAGTCCATCTATATGTGGAAAGAGATTCCCCTACCCACGCCGAGCAAGACGCCATCAACCCCAACAAGCGGTGCATCCTTTCCAGCACCAGAAAAGGCGTTCGGTAAGACCGTCGTCACGCCATATATATATGAACTCTTCAACCAACTACCCTGCGGCTTCATGATGGAGGCCTTAGCGCCGAGCCCTCGAGCTGACCACTTGCGGAGTAATCTCACAAGCGCCTACAACTTGGAGTCATCGCCAGTCCCCCATACACTTGCTCATCAGGTATATGAGGAGAGGAGTGCTAAAGAGGTCTGTGTCGGCGATGTCATTTCTACGACAAGGGATGCTGACGGCAGCTCTCAGTGGGCTAGAGAGGTTGCTCCTGGCTTTCGCGATGTCGACCGGTGGTTTGGACTTGTGCAAGAAGTTCACAAGTTGAGGGATGGCAAGCGGTGTTTTGATGTCATCTGGCTGTACAGACCCGTGGACACTCTGTGTGGTACTATGAAGTATCCTTGGAATAATGAGTTGTTCCTCTCGAACCACTGCTCTTGTGGGGATGGATGTCCTAAGATCAAAGAGAGCGAGGTTCTCTCTATTCATGATATCCACTGGGGAGGCGCGGCAGGCACCAACGCAGAGTTCTTTTGCCGACAAACATACCTCACCAAATTGACGACACAACGATGGGTTACGTTTCAGCAGAGCCATCTTCGTTGCAACCATGAGGCCGAGGCGTTTACCTATAAGATGCGATAGTCTTCTCATCAGCCCCGAGAAGCTTGATAATCTAGCTGAGCCTTATGAACTGGTCTCAGCTCCAGACGAGGAAAACGTTGTCACACTCAGACGTCTATATCGAAGAGGTCATCTGGAACCCAAATCGCATGCTCCACGGAACGAACTTGTCTACAGCAACGACACGATTTCAATGAGTGCCGATCGCATTTACGGCAGATGTCTCGTGCGCTATTTCAGACACGACGAGCCTATTTCACCCCCGTATAACCGGAACGGTGTCGGAAATGCCTTCTTTATTACGCACCATCTGGATCCATCAGGTCAGATCATCCGTATGGATGATGCACCTCCCACTCTGAGGCAGGGCTTCAATCCCTTGAGGCCGATTCCTAAGCTTCGAGGGGTTGATCTGTTTTGCGGAGGCGGTAACTTTGGACGTGGTCTCGAGGGGGGGGGGGCTATCGAGATGAAATGGGCGAATGATTACAATGAACTTGCTGTTCACACGTACATGGCCAACACCCTCAGCGAGGTTCATCCTTTTATCGGTTCTATTGACGATCTGCAGAGACTTGCATTGGAAGGCAAATTCAGCGATAAGGTTCCAAACATTGGTGCAGTGGACTTTGTATCTGCTGGAAGCCCATGCCCCGGATTTTCTCGCTTGACTAACGACAAAAACAAGCCAAAGCTGCGCAAAGACCAGTCACTCGTTGCTGCCTTCGCCTCTTTCGTTGATACCTACCGGCCTAAGTATGGCCTCTTGGAGAACGTCTTGGAGATCGTACAGCCATGCGGAAAAAAGGATGAAGATGTTTTCTGCCAACTGATCTGTGCCTTGGTTGGGCTTGGATATCAAACACACTTCTTTCTACTAGATGCATGGCCTTATGGCTCACCGCAGAGCCGAAGCCGTGTGTTCCTCTGTTTTGCAGCCCCAGGCCACAGACTCCCAGAGCTACCTCTTCATTCGCATTCACACTATCAGCCAGTCCCTCGTTGGAAGACCCTTGGCAAGTTGCCCAATAATGAGCCGATGGGTGAGCAGCTGGTGATGCCTACGCCCTTCAACTTTATTGGATCCGAAGAGGCAACTGCAGACCTACCGAATATCGTCGACGGTAAAGTTGATATCTGCATCCCCTTCCCAGACCACCGTCTTGCACATGGGTACACGAAATACCTTCGGAACCAACTGAGCGTCATTCCTACTCACCCTTATGGCATGAGCTTCATGACTACCTGGGACAATGGCCATGGTATTATGACGAAAGCGGAGAGAGACTTCTTCCCCGCGAAGGGCGACAGGGTCACACAAGCATCCTCGCCTGCGTGGGGCAGGTGCTTCCCTCAGAAGGTTATGCAAACGGTGACAGCAGCCCCTTCTCCAGCAGACGCGCGACTCGGCAGGATCCTGCACTGGAACCAGAATCGAATTTTGACGGTTATGGAAGCTCGGCGCGCCCAAGGATTCTTGGACCATGAAGTTATTCTGGGACAGCCCAAAGACCAGTGGAGAGTGGTTGGAAACAGTGTCGCGAGAGAGGTGTCTCTAGCTCTGGGGCTGTCTTTTCGAGAAGCCTGGCTCGGCTCTCTGGTCGATGGGGATGAGGCTGACTCTACGCTGGATCAACAACCGATACTCAACGACATGGATATCGCACAACTGAGCACACCGCCTGGGCTAAGTTCTAGGAGCACCAGGGGTGCTGGTGCCGATACTCTGGGCTCTTCGCGTCCACTGAAGCGGCCTCTCGAGAGCACCTTAGAAGCGCAGTTGTTTGTGTCCAAGATGGCTAAGACCAGTGCAGACGGCGAGTGATACGCAGCAAAGGGTTATGAATGGTGTCTTGGGCTAGAGAAGGACAAAGTATCTGGACAGACAGGCTTGGGGAGATGACTTTCTGGAGAGGGTTTGCAAAAGCATTCGAGATACCCGATTGGAGAACCTACAGAGGAACGCAGAGCGCGGGCAGAATCGCATTAGAGCTAAATATAGAAAGGCTCTCATACATCTGCACTGTGCACGAGATACCAGAAGCAACGAAAATCAGTTGCATGGCATAGACAAAGAATTCTTCACCACGCTGGCTTCTTGTGTGATCCTTCTCGTCTGTAATATGTTTTGAATTGATTGCGATATACTATCTAAAAGGGACGCTATTTTCCCAACCTAGATTACATAGTTGACAGGGGGTGTAAAGCACAGGGTATTAATAATGTTTCTTTCTTATTCGTTCTCGAATGGGCGCTCAGCTCTCTCACTGGCCCTTTGTGACGGTAACTGTCTCCGTCTCCTTCACTGTGACCGTTGCCGTCACGGTCTCCTTCTCCGTGACTGTCATGACGAATCCGAAAGCATCGGGGCTGGCCTTCGCCGCGGGCGCCGTCGGGAGGACTGTCGGGACGGTGGACGGGATCGGGTCAAATGTCAGTGTGCCGGTGACGGTGACAGTGGTGGTCGCAGGTGGTGCAGATGTCTCTACAGATGTTGAGCTGCGTGTGCGACGACGGGTGGAGGTCGACAGTGTCGTTGGCTCCTCTGCAGTCGTCGTGCCCTCTCTTTCTGTGGTAGTTGGTGCCGGGTCGGGCTCAACCGTTCTCGTAACGACGACGGTCGTGGTGAAGCCCGGCGAGGAAGTCTTCTCAGGCGGGGCGACGAGGACCGTAGACGTGGCGGTGGCAATTGGAACCGCTGGGCTTGTAGTCTCTGGGCTGCTCGGCGGAGCCACCTGGATTGTGGACGTGGCGGTGACGACTGGCGTGACAGTCATTGTGACCTCTGATACTGCAGCACTTGTAGAAGATCCCGGGGCAGACACAGCCTCTCCGAGAATGTTGCTCGCGACGGTAGGGTTGTAGCAGCCGACGACGACCCCCTCTGTTGTGTTCATAGGAAGGGCGAAGCATGACTGGTCGTTACCGCAGCTCACGATGTCGAAGGCGCCGTCGGAGCCACATTTTCCGATGTTGCCTCTGACGCAGGCGACTTGGCCGTTACTACAAGCAGACTGCTCGCTGAGGGTGGCGAAGAGGGCATTGAAAGACTTGGCGTTGGCGAGGTTTCTGGCTGCAACCTCTGGGGAGATGGTCGCCGTGGCGGCGGGAAGCGAGGTCTCAATGGTGGGGACGCCGACGTTGGGAGAGCCTGTGACCTTGAGAGTTGCCGATGATGGGGGTATGGTCTGGAGTGGTGTTGTTGATGAAGCCGGGGTATCATGGGATGTGGGGGCGGGCGTAGATGAAGCTTCAGCCTTTGCGGTGGTGCTGAGCACAAGAGAAGTTGATGATGCGACAGTCTGGACGGTTGTCGTTGTAGTCTCGCCAGGGACGGGGAACGCAAAGGACAAAGACGACTGCATCCCATTGGGAGGTCCTCGCGAAGCGCCCTCTTCACCTGCGGCCGTCGTGGGCGGCCCGGTCGGGGTTTCAGTCAGACTGCTTGCTGGCAGGATGGCCGACCCATTTCGAAGGCCTGTTGTCGGATACGGAGGTAGAGCGATAGAGCTGAACATGGGAGGCAGAGTGGCTACAGTGGTCATGGAAGCACCGCCTGATGTTGTTGACGGTACTGATATCGTGCTCAGAGGAGGAGGGAGGAAGACTGCGGTGCTCGACGACTGTACAGCTGTCGTTGAGGGGCCTCGTGTGGCTGCTGATGTGCTTTTCGTGTCGTCGATGGTGCTGAAGACAGGACTTGGTGTAGATCCATCATCCTCTTCCTTTGCCGTTACTGCAGCGGCAGAGGTGGAAAGATGTCTGCGTTCGTGTGAGTAAGGATCGTCGAAGGAGGTTTTGGGGACGTACGTTGACTCTGGTGTACTAGAGGCGACACTGACTGAGATGGTAGAGTTCCAGCCCCTTCCGAAACTGCGACTGATGTTAGTGGAGTTCGACCATTATGCTGTATGTACTGACAGTCTCTCAGCACGTCTTACCGGACCAGCCTGCGTAGTCTGAGATAACAGGAGGAGGAGCAAGACGTCTGCTATGCGAATACTGGAAAGCATTGTGGGAAATGAATGAAAGTCAACCAGTGGGTATGTCTCTTCGTCAAGAAGAGGTATTATGAGTAAATGATATCCACAATGGGATGCACCGCGCTGGACAAAAGAGAGGGGACCTTGCGCGAGAACAAAGATGATGATCAGCGCAGATCAGAAACAGAACGCGAGACAGCAAAGCAGCAGAGGACGTGGAGAAAGAATGGAAGGCAAAACACAAGGAAAGTGAGTAAGGACAGAAGGAAAAGAGCGAAGGGCAGGCGTCAATATGACTAGAGGATACTCGAAGAAGGCTGATGACGGAGTCTCGAACACTGGTTTGAGGCGAGGGGCAGCCCCGTCTTGTATGACTGGCATGGACAGCAAACAGCCTCTCCGGGGTCCAGACTTCTGGGCCTGTCGTGGCCCATTCGAGCAGCCGGGCTGTGAAGCCATTCGAAACAGACCATCGCGAGTTGGCAAGGCGAATGGAGCAGTCTAGATGAGCCCCGACAGCTTGGGGGATTTTCGTCCAATCCATTGCGCTGCTCCGGATCCGGTGGCCAGGGTTGAGCTGCGGATGAGGTGCCGTCATTGCGACTTGGAGAAGCGTTGTTTTGTTAAGCGCCTCTGGCAAATACGAGAAGAAAAAAAAACGAAGTGTTCTTGGGGAGAAATGGGAGAGTGTTTCTTGTCAAGTCGACTGCAGACGCGCGGGAAGTTATTATTGGCAGCCCCCGGATCCCTGCTACGTTCCCGAGAGCTGCGAGCCAATGAATGCCACAGCGCTTACACCACATGGGACAGGCGGCCAGGGGGGGTTGACGGAGTCCAGTCCATCTTGGTGCCATAAAGAGCACCACATGTCTGCATGCTCCTGTTCAGGATTGAAATGTCGACAAAACACTCGTACAATTGATGTGAGCCTGCTAGAGAAAACTTGAATGAGCGTCGACCTTCTTCTACCTTATCTTGCCTTACTCTGACTGGGACGCAATGCACGCGTGTTGGCGGGCGAAGAGCCACTGAAACACACGGGCTGGCCAATTACACAACAGGCCCTGGCCGAAATCAGCATGTGGATCAGCGCTACGACACTGGGATACCTGTCCGGGCCTACCTTGGATAAAAAAGCAGTGCTCATCTGAGGGGGGAAAAGCCTTTAGATTTTGTCAGTCAACGCCATGCATGAGTCGCGTCCCGTCTTCAGCCCTTGAAGAATGCCAGCAGTACAGATCCTTTGGGTGAGCGACCACCCGACTGTGAAGCCATTCCCTTGCAATCAAGGTCAGCGGCCGGCACAGCTGATGGTGGCATCGTGCGATCTTCCACTTTGTGCTCTGGAAATTTGCTAGAATCTCTCATTTCGAAATTTCCAGCTGGGGCGAGAGAAAGCCAGGGAGAGGGGGCTCGCCTCAAAGGTCCTACCTACGTCATTCATGACCGACCAGACTCAACTTCATCAAAATCGGCAGAATAATTCATTGCCGCAATGTGAGAAATCTCTCACCTTCCAATGTCTTATCAGAGTATGATTGACCAAGGCACGTGGCCTCTGCAGCAGCAGCAGCAGTCGTGCCACCTTCCCCTCTGGACCACCCAGCCAAGGCCCAAATGAGGGGAAAACACCATCAAACGACGTCGAAATATGCTTCCTTACCAACGCTGCCGTGGGCACGTTGCACATTGGGTGGCGTCCATTGGGGGCTAGTCCATCATTTCTCCGTCCGCCAAGCCTCACCTCCGCTAGGAAGCGGCTTGGCATGGATCCCGAAGTGCATCGCTGATGATCTGCAACAGGTGACGGGACAATGCATTGTCATCTTTCTGCGAGACATTCAGCAAAGGCCGGCCTCAATTCCGTTATCGATGTCTTGGAAATTCCTCACAGTTGTGGTAGAAGACTAGTGCGTCCTCCCGCTCAAATCATCTGCCACCATTGAATGTGATCCGTCATGCCAAGAGAGCCTGCACCGCTGGCGGACTGCATTCGTCGAATTATTCATGTGCTTTGCATTACATGAAATGAAGCCAAGATGTTCAGAGTCGAGTGCATATATAGCCGAATCATTTGGCCATCACCTTGAGAGGAAATTGGTTCTTGCGACCACCCTGAGGTCCTTGTTGCCCCTCCTTGTCGCGAGAAATTTCTTCGCCCTCTGCATCTTTTCAAATCACACATCCACTGGTCCATGAGCAAATTGCCAAGATGCATACAGCTTCGCTTTCTCTTTTCGCGCTGGCAAATGCCGCGTTGGCCGTAGATGTGAAGAACTTCATCTACATCGTCCCCGATGGATATGGGCCGGCATCCCAAACCATGGCTAGGGACTACGTTTCCTTGATGCAGAATGGCCAGAACGAAGGAGCTCCAGTTAGCATACAACTGGCAGCAGACAAGCTGGTAAGAGCGAACCCATTATCACGAATCCCCCTACTGACGACATCATTGAGGTGATTGGGAATGTCCGCACCCAATCCAGCGATAACTTGATCACAGACTCTGCAGCCTCCGGGACTGCCTTTGCCTGCGGCGTGAAGACATACAACTCTGGTAGGTTGAATGAAAATCATCTTCGAGGGGCATAGCCTAACGAGAACCAGCTATTGGCGTCGACCCTGACGGCAAGCCCGTTGGATCCATTCTTGAGGCTGCCAAGTTCGCGGGCATGAAGACCGGCTTGGTCGTTACAAGCACCGTCACCCACGCTACCCCTGCAAGTCTGTTCTCCCATCCTTGAGGCAAAGTTCGAGACTAAAACAAATCAGGCTATGCCGCTCATGTTGCTAATCGGGGCTCCTACGAAAAGATTGCGGAGCACGAAATAGGGTATAATCA